AAAAGTTGTGACTATATAAAGATCAAAATTTATGTGTTTGTAATAACTAGATCAAAAAAATAATGTGATTATAACAAAGTTGTGACTATATTGAGAGTGACTATAACGAGGTCTGACTGTAATTGTCTTTAAAATAAACTTGTCTATGAATTGATTGTCTGTGAAACAAGGTGTCTATGAAATAAATTTCTACAAAGTGATACGAACCCAAATGAATCTCCCACAGGGAGATTTTTTAAAGCAACTTGGATTAATGGTACAATTACGGTTTGTTGATACGTTCTTTCATTTAATGTTCTTGCAACTTCAGACCCGAATGCTGGGTTATTCCAAATATTTTTCAGGACGCTTAAAATTTCTTTGACAACACGTGAAGTAGTTTCTTCAGACTCTTTCCAAGTTTTATTATGCGTCCATTTAGGCTTCATTTTATCATCACACCTTCTAAAATCTTCTGTGATATCTCTTGGACTATTGGCCTATGAGCCGGTACCATATCACGAAAAATTTTCTAAAATGAAATATGCATTATTAGCAGTGATGAAAAATACGAACACCTATATGAAATTTCTTACATTAAATCCTTTTTTGATGTCCCTAGGAAGATTCTTCACTATATCTGATTTATCGCTGATGACTTGGCTTGCCAAAGGATCCTTCCAGGATAATTCTTTAACAGGTTTCTTAACTACGTCAGAATATAAATGTTGATAGAGGGTGCTCGAATCTCTATGAAGTTATCCTTTTAGTATGTCTATATTTTCCTTAATCCGACCCAAATCGAGGGGTTTCTCTTTATTTATTTTAACAGCTCCGAGATCTTGTAAACTACAAAGCAATTCCAAACTAAAAAAAATAATGTATTAGTTTCAGTTATATAAAAAAACACATCATTAGAAAAATACATTACATATCAGTACATATGCAAAGTTTTCATTTACGTGTGGCCATCACTTTAAATGAAACTCTGTGTGGTACTAAAATAACTACATTATAGTTAGGGACCTGCTCTAAACAACGTAATTCCCTGCAGGCGATAAATTTTTCTCGTCAATAGGTTTCTAGGATGAACTACACTACTGCATAACAGTCTATAGCTTAAACATCCCTCTATTGAGAGTAAGTGTTTACCGTGAGCAAATTGATGGGATAATTACGCTGATTTCAGCATCTGTCTTTAGAGATGGACCACATAATATCATCATTTTTATAGAAAAGTTTAATCAATTGCCTTTGTCAAAAGAACCATCCTCGCAAAAGTTGTTGGCAATCCTTACTGCTTGGTCTACAATAGATCGTAACTCATCTTCCGAAATCCAAGGTTCCTCTTTTATCCCTTGGTAAATAACCGAAGTAGTGGTTATAAGGCTTTCTTTTGCACTTATCAAAAAATTGGAAAATTTGGTTTGTAAATCGGCAGACATATTAAAAAAATAGTTTAGAAATAACAAAAATCACAGTAATAAAATCACTAATAAGCAACAAATAACAATGAATTCGAGATACTACCCTTTTATATGTTTTTCTTTCACCCTTTTCCCGAAACTCGAAAGGTTAGAAAGGTTAGGCAAAAGCAAAAACATGCACCCTTACGAAAAAATTCAACGATTGAGACATGTATTTCCACGCAGTGAAATTTCTCAATAAATTATGTAAGTATATGCATCACAAGTTATAGAGCCATATACTCCATGATAAGCCTTCTAAGGTGGCACGAATAAATTTTACATGCGGAATTTATTATAACACATTAATGAATATCGATATGTATAATAGATAATGATAAATTTTGCCCCGTATGCGTGGAGGCTCATATAAATACCTGGAGGCAAATTTAATGATAACAGAAAAAAAATACTATCATACAATATTTGAGGTAAATTTATGTCTTTTACTCAGTTAAATAGATTAGTTACATGATACAATATAAAAAGGGGATTGCTACCGACAACTACCCCAACCAGTGTTGGTCACTGGACTGGACTATTCCACTGGACCGTTACTGAACTGGACCGTCCAGTCCAGTGGAACTATATTAATTGGAACTGGACCAAATAGTATAATTAAAATTTTGGTTTGATTGGTTAATCAAAAAATTTTTGATTGACTCCGTTTGATTCATAGGACCCATTCCCTTATTAAATATTTTTTTCTTGTAATTTTATGGCAGTTAAAGTATAATCAAGTAACAATAATAATAATAAAATTTATGTACGTAGTTTGATTAATAATATTCTTTACTATAGGAATGACGGGAAGAGAAAACCTGTAAATAATTTTACTCATTATCATCGCAGTGAATTCTACCCCTGAAGAGTTCTCAGAGGTAAAATTCACTGCGATGATAATGAGTGAAATAATTTATAGGTTTCTCTTTCTGTCACTCATATACTAATCTACCAATTAGCACGTTCATCTAAGATTAACTATATAAAATCTATATCCAATCAAAACTTGCTATTTAGATTACCTGAATACTGGACCATAGTGGATTGGACTGGAGCTGGAAATAGTTCCAGTGGAATAGTCTAGTCCAGTCCAGCTTTTAAAGCTGGACCAGTAAAATACTCAACACTGACTACAGTACTAGGTATATAACGGGAACGGACTTAGTAGATTAATCTTTTATCAGATTTGACAAGTTATCGATTTTGACAGGATCAGTTTTGGGAGGTTCAACAGTATAACTCTTATTATAAATTAGGCTGCCCTTAACTTTTAAAAAAAATAGTTATTCACCCATTCACCCGTGAGACAAGACCCGAAAAAATTGTTTCCATAATTATAAAAAATGAGTTGGTTTATGGCAAAAATGGCGATAGAATACTTAAAATTTAACTAAAATACATTATTTCGGCATTTGTAAAAGATCTAAACTAAGATTTGGTTTATTTTCACTAATATGTTATAATTTAGAACCACAAAAAATGACTGTAATAGCTTGTCAACATTTCTAATAAAATATTGTCATTTACAAATGCCAATTAAATCTTTAATATATACCTGCTAGTGCTTGCTAATTCTTTGCAAAAATATAAAGACTTAAATCTCAAAGACAATCAAATATGCTTGAAATATTTTAATATTTTGGGATTTTACCATCCTTTGTCAACCGTAAAACGATGAATTAATATTTATAGTATATTCAATTTAATTTTACTTAACACGTACATCCGAAAGTGTAAAAATTGTTTAAAATGAGAAATCCAATAAAAATTGAGCTAATCTTTTGAAATTTTTTCGGGTCCCTGCCCACGTATGACCCTACTCGGGTCGGAACCAGGGCTAAAACGACACATAATATACGGCAGCCATTTACTGCGCCGCTGCCATTGTTTGAAGCATCGATTTTGATACATCAAATTTACGAGTAATAAAATTTTAAAATAATATGAATCAAAAACGACACTTATTGAATGGCCGGTATTTACTATGTGTCGTTTTAGCCCTGGTCGGAACATTAGATTTAACTATTATGAGAGGATTTAAAACTCTGTTTCATCTTATATGTACTTAGAATCAATTTATGCTGATTCTAAATCTACAAGGATTTATTCTGACGTACATTGACATAAGTTACACCTATCTTGATATTTATCGTTATCACTTAAACTCCCAGCTCTTTATAGTGAAACTCTTGTTTATCAAAAAATCAAATTTGCCAAATTACGTGGAAATAGTGTAACCATAAATAAAAATCAGTATCGGTAAATTGATACGTATCCTTTTTTTATTTTTTGATTGAAATGTCAAACGAAATTTGAAAGAATTGATCGATGGTTTCAACAAACTAAATTTCTCAGATTGTCAAAAATTGGCAGATAAGAACGATCCAGATGGAATTTTCTGGCTCGGTTATTCTTACGAATATGGAATTGAAGTTGAAAAGAATGAAAGCGCGGCATTCAAACATTATCAAAAATCGGCAGACATGAAAAATTCTAACGGAATGTATCAAGTTGGTTATTGTTATAATTTAGGAATTGGCGTCGAAATCGATAAGCAAAAAACGTTTTCATATTATCTGAAGTCTGCTGAGGTTGGTAATTTCAATGGAATTCGGAAAACTGCTATTTGTTACTGGTTTGGAATTGGCGTGGATAAGGATGAAATAAATTTTATGAATGGATTAATAAGTAAGTTAATGTTTAATTTTTTTTATTAGAATATTTTGTAATTCTTTATTTGAAATTGAGATTTCTTACACAATTTTTAATTATTAGGGAATAAGTATAAAGTGCATTTTCATCAATCTAAATCGGCGATTTAAGTTCATAAATATTTTATTTATTTATTGTTGGTTATTTTAGCCCGTGAGTATAAAAGAATTTAACAATTTTTAGAAATAAAAACAAGTTCATAAAACAAGAAAGTTCATAATTATTTATAATTACATACAAAAATCATTTCATTCGCATTAATTTAGTGCGTGAGTATAAAGAACATTTATAATCAATGGAATTAAAAACAGCAAAACAAATTCAAATCAAGAACTTATTTAATTCATTTCATTCGCATTAATCATTTTATTTAGTTAGTGAGTATAAAGAACATTATTAATCAATGGAATTAAAAACAGCAAAACAAGTTCACAAAACGAGATCATAAATACTTATTTATCATCACGTTTAAATTCATTTCATTCGCATTAATTTAGTCAGTGAGTATAAAGAGCATTTATTAATCAATGCAATTAAAAACAGCAAAACAAGTTCACAAAACAAGTTCATAAATACTTATTTACCATTACGTTTAAATTCATTTCATT